GATAGAGAGAGCGAATTAAACCAGAAAAACTAACTACTATTAAAGCGACCAATAACCAGATGACGCCAATTCGACGGCGAATGAAGTTCAGTAAGAAAATATAGAAATCGATCTAGCATTCTCCATCTAGCATTCCCCATCTAACATTGGGGAATCACAGGAAACGTTGCCCAAAATTATGATATTAACGAAATATTACAGTTTGATTAGAGTTTTTGAAATAAACTATGGCACTGAAATACTCCATCAAATTCATTGGATCTTCAAAAGCCTTTTCCAGGTTGACTATTTTGAGCTTCTTTTCGTGGGCACATAACGCACAATCAAGTAAGATGTGTTGAATCGTCAAATCCACCTCACATTTCCATCATATAGGTTAAGGTTCCTTCTTTAACAAGTAACCAGAACTTAACTGTATATGCTTGCTTGGGTCTACTGAAAGTAACCTGCTGGTCCCAAGCAGCAGCTTGATGTGATCCCAACAACATGTCTCAATATACTGGAAGTTTGCAAAGGTAATTACGAAACGGATCTTATTGCTCCCAAGCATATCTAAACAACACTTTTTGATGTACAAAAAGTATTTGCTAAAGTCTAACACCAATGTTAGAAACCAAACTAAAAGTTATAATATCAAAACAGTACTGTCTGATCTGATGGGTAATTATATTGAAAATAGATATTTCAGAGTTAACCTTGAAAATTAATATTCCAAATTAATGAAATTAACGCCGGTGATTTGTCACTATTTGCTATGGGTAGAAACATTGAAAAAGCTATCAATAAACTTCAGGTCGCGTTAGGTAAAGTTAATTCATGGACTAAAATCTGTAATATAAAATTAAACGAAAATAAATCGACACACGTACTCTTTTTGTCGAAAGAGAAGAAGGCACAACTAAAATAAAGGACAATTAATACATAATGTTTTTAGGTGTGACAACGAATTCCATGACACATCACGTATCTAAACAACTTTAATCCTCTTTAATCATACTTAATAAATATCATCTATATAGTTTAACAATAGAAATAAACAAGGAATAACCAAATGAATCAAGCTAAAGTATATTTTTGTAACAAATTGACTTAACTCTCCTGAAGATGCTATGTAAATATAGCGAAACCGGTTGAGAAAAAACAATAAATAAAATCCATTAAAGTGCAAAAAACGAAGTTTTAATTTAATACATAATAAATTGATGATATATTAGCAAGTCAGAACAAGGTATTAATCAACATTGCAAATGCGCCTTGGTACATAATGAATAACAACCTCCACAGAGATCTTGGCGTTGCTATGGTGAAAAAGAAATTCAGAAGTACGCTTAACAGCATGAACAAAGACTTTTTCATCATATTAATGAGAAAGCTTCCTATCTCTTAGATAACAGTCAGTTAATACGCAGATTTCAAAGAAGCAAACTGTTTGAGTTGGTGTAATGCGGTACAGTAAAAGTGGGTATGTGAGGCATCAGGAAACTAGAGACTAACTGCTTCGTTAGTCAACAGATTAGTTGTATCATGCGTTTTGCACTATAAAGAAATCATCATCAAAAACATACTTTATACTATCCATTTGCAGCAGTAAAGTAAAAGACGCAGATAATAGTATATTAAAAAACTAGTTTCGTAAGACACGCTTGAAATGCACGAATTCGAGTTGAAGTTTTTAATGAATGAGTGCTTTAAGGCTTACGAAACGTGCTTTTTATACTATTTTTTGTAATTCACGTTTTTATCCTTTTTTTAGCAAAAGTAAAATAAATTTTGACAATGTAGGGAAATAAGTATGTAGCAGTTAGTAACACCGTAACACTTGAAAATAGAAATTTGAATTGACAATTAGAAATTGTCAATACACAAAATGTATTCACCTGAAAAAAATGTACACCTAAAATAAGAGAAATTGTTTAGAGTGCACATTTAGAGTAAATACATGCTAAGAATGTGTTTAAACATCCATAGACAAAAATTGTCACACCGACAACTAGAAAAATTAATAACCCAATGTCGCCAACTCGAACTGGTTCCATGAAATGTTACTAAAATCTCATTACAGCATCCGTTTGAGTACTGTAATAGCTTTCATTACCGTCGCGAATTACAAAAACAACTTTACCTGCCGCTAAATGCACAGTTTATACGAGACAGTAGCACAAAGTGTATAAAGTATGTTTTTGCTGCCGGTTGGCAATAAAGACTTTTTCATCCTATTAATGAGAAAGCTTCCTCTTGGACAACAGTCAGTTAGTACGCAGATTTCAAAGAACTAAATTACTTGAGTTGGTGTAACCTCTACCGTAAAGCTCCACTTGCTAGAAATGAACTAACTATCAGAGACTATCTCTGAAACTATCAGAGAGTCCCCACCAACTTTCAGAGAGTGAACAGGTTGAGATTTGTATTCAAGTAGACCCGCACAATTTATCTATCGTGAGAGTAACTGTCAAAAAACGAACACGGTTCGAATTTTGCGGCGTGTAGCTGCGAGTTTTCTCAATGTAACACGTTTAAAGATAAGAAAAGATATATTTATAAGAATATAAATATATAAGATAAGAAATATTTGAATTAATTGAAGTGTATGAAGAAAATTCAATTCTTTGGAATACCAAATCTAAAGAACATAGAAATCGGGAAGCGAGGGATGCAATTTTAACAAGTATTGGACAGAAATTTAAACGGGATTTGTACCATTGGTAATATCTAATCTTCTGACAACATAATTTGGCCTTCTAATAATAAAATTAAGTCTTCTGCTAACAGTATTTGGTTTTTTAGTACTAGTGTGTAGTCTTCTGTAAGAAGGATGTGCTTCATTTGCAATATCTAGTCTTTCACTAGCAATACTTAGTCTTCTGCCAACAATATCTAGTCTTCTACCAACAGTATTTCGTCTTCTGGTAGTAGTGTGAAGTCTTCAGTAAGAAGAATCTGCTTCATTTGTAACATATAATCTTTCATTAGTAATACTTAGTCTTCTGCCAGCAATATCTAGTCTCTTTCAGCAGTTGAGGCGTTTAAGTTTATTTTTTCTAATAATTTCCAAAATACTGCCAAGTCACTGTTAAGCTATCACGTGTACTACAATAAATTTATAGTTTGCATTTATAAGTGCCACTAAAGCAATCGAGTTCACTTTTTTGTGAATCTAGTATGCCAAATAACTAACAATTTGACAACGAATGTTGATATTTGTTGACACCCAGCTCTAATCTACGCCAAATCCATGGTTTCACCCAACACCTTCTTTTTATTTTTTGTTTGTTTTTTTTTAAATTTTGCACAACACTGTTGCACTTGCAATTTTGTTTACATCCATGTTTACACACACCTAACACTGAACGAAAATAACTTTTACTAAATTTTACACGGTCCTGAGAGAACTGGCTGAGAGAAAGCTCTCAGAAGTTTTATAGAAGCTTTCGGAGAGCTAAAACAGTCTCAAGTGGACACAGAGTTGAGAGTAGATATCGAGAGTTACTCTCAGAAGTTTCTCTCAAGTGGACACCTAGCTTAATTTTAACTTTAAGAAAGTTAGGTCATAGAAAAATTGTTCCATATTCAATAGAGTAGTTGTAATATCATGCGTTCTGCGCTATAAAGAAATCTGCCTTTGGTTTTGATACGTTGATGTATGCCATGCTCTCTGTGTTAACAGACCGAGACTAAATTATGTTCTGGGTTCCTGAATATTCCGCATCAATACATATTTGCTATATTTTATGGACCCGCTTCCCATCCTCTGCGTCTTTGATAAAGCGCAGATATCTATTCGGTACCAATTCAATTCTATTATAATTTGTTGGTTCTTCTTATACCATGATTTAACATTCCATGATCCAAGTCTTATCAGATTTATCTTCCAGTATCTCTCGCCTAGTCCTTACTGTAAGACTAGCATGTATCCCGACTGAGTTGTTGATTCTCTGAGTAATTTACGTTTTTACCGCTAGCAAGTTACTAGTCTCGTCAGTGAACCCTCTTCCTTTATCTGGGCTTGAAACCAATCAACATGGCTACTCGATCCACTCAGCGTCCATACAGATTCTTTGAAAAGGTGATTCAAGTTGAGTTGAAAGGACGAGAATATAGACAAAGTTTACATCGATCGTAGCACTGGGGCTTTCGTATTTCGCTAGGCAACGAATATTGACAAAGGATTTACACGCATACAAGATCCAAATCACTCAAGAATTGAACCCCGGAGACCACCAACAGCGTCGTGTGTTTGTCGAATGAATGCTTAAACAAGAAGTCGGTTTTTCGAAAAAAAATGTATTCGATGTTGAGGCAGATTTTCACCTCAACGGATTTGTAAACAAACAAAATTGCCGCATTTAGGTAATGCAACATTGTATCAGACTTGGTTTGATGCATCTTGATACAAATTCTTTGAACAGCTATTAATTTGCAACTGGAGAAACGTTATCTTGCTAGTGATTTGAAGTTTAGCTTTGTCTGTAGGAGAAAATATAAAACTTGTTTTAATTGGGCTATTCTTAACGTTTTGAAAAACTACTCAAGTTGTAGCGATAAAGAAGCCATTTGCATCTTATTTTAATAATTTAAATCTCTTTTAAAAATCTACAAACCAAAAACCTACAGTAATTGTAAAAAAATTGGAGCTTAAAATAAAGGCATAAATTATAAACATAAATTTCCATGCAAAATAAAACTTAATTTATCAGTAATAGTACACGTCAAGTGGAATTAATTCTATGGCGTGATGGTGTTGCGTTGGTTGATTGTAGAGACGGTTTTGCGTCTTTTCTAAATATAAACGAAGTGGTTGCGTGGTTATTTATGCAAAATACAGGGCTTAAAGAACAAAGGAAATTTGTAAATTCAAATTTTAATTTGTTTTTACAATTAAAGATATGTCTTTCCTTATATGAATTATACTTTACTACAAAAATAAAATATATGTTTTGATCCAAATCTCGATTAAATCTAACAATAAGAAACTAGAATTATGTTGAAACATTTATTTACAGGGTGATAATATAACGGACGCTGTAACAACTTATATAAGCGAAGCAGAAGCTGCTCAACGTCGTGTTTTAGCTGCTGGAGATGTTACACAAGATGAAAGGGGTTTAAGAGAATTAGTACAAGCCGGAGCTTATAGGTAAAAAAGTAATTATCATAATTTAAACAATTTTTAATTAATATAATAAATTTAAGATCGGCTATAAATTTAACGGCACGTTTATTAACGATATACGGACAAGGAATTGGAAGATCCGGACATCCGAGTAAACACTCTCCGCATTCATTACAATTATGGTTCACTAGAATAGCACTTTTGATCAAAACTAAAGAATACCAAGTTGCTCAAGCCGAAGCCGAACCATTTGGTCAATTAGATAAACCAGATCTTTTTTATCAAGTAATAAATTAAATTAGTTAGAAGAAAAATATTAATTTATTATTTTAGTTTTATCCTGAAATGTATGGTGGTCGTCCAGGATCGATAGCGTCATTTTCATTTAGATTATTACTCGCTGAATTACCAATGCACTGTGGGAAAGCAAAGGATTCGTTAACGAAGTTATTTAATATGTTAGCAACTGTTAAACAGGTTAATAAAATAAACTTTTTTATGATTGTAATTAATTAATGAATTAATTTAGATGTTAAGAAATTTAAAAGAAGGTTTATGCGAAGATGGAAACCCCATGGAAATCTCCGAATCAGATCGAAACGATTCCGTGAGATTATGGACCGGAAGGGAAACAAGAATTTTACATTCTATAGTCAATTGTGCCTTAGCATTAAAAGATTATGTACTTGCAATGGATATTTTGGGACAATTATGCGAACGGTAAATATTTCTATTAATATATTTATTTTAAATATAATATTTTTTGATTTAAATTTAGAGATGGAGCACCACGTCACACGTTATTATCAGCCTTAGGCCGTTTACATTTACAATTAGGTGATGTATCTGGAGCGGAAGTTTGTTTTAACGAAGCAAGCGAAATACGTGGAGGAGCACCTGATTTACGAGAGTTAGTGGATCGCGGACTTTTAGCAATGGCTCAAAACTCGTTCGGTGATGCGTACAAATTTTTCCATCAAGCCAGTGTGTTAGAACCATCAAACGTTATGGTATAAACATAATTTTAAGCTTTCAATACATGCGCTTACAGTTTAACCCTTTGTGTCCTAAGATTAAAACGCTATCAAAATACACTCAGTAAAGGCCTTTGGAATCAATTTTAGCAAAATATGCAATCCCCCCTTTCCAGGGGGATAATGGTACTTGAGAGTACTATCAGGCATTAAAATATATTTTAGTGATGTTGCAGTAAACAAAAACTTTTATTGCCAATATAAAAATAATATATTTTTTATTACGTTAGAAAATAAGTAACACTTGCTTTAGCTAAATCACATTATGATATTCAGAAAAACAGATCTTTCTTTCATTATAGCATAAATAAACATTGCACGCAGTACATTTTGAGTGGGGTCTAGCTTTGGCAGAACAATTTTCACAACTTCCTCTTTCTTTTGAACTTGCGCTACGACATTTTCGTGGACGCAGTAAATTTGAATATTTATCTATCAGACCTGTAGCTACAAAACGACGAAAATCTGATAGAATATTGAAAAAAAACATATTGAGCAAAAACTAACATTTTCGCATAATCTAAGTGTCAAAAAAGATGCTAATTCAAAAATTCTTGGAAGCCGTGTTTATTGAAATTAAAAAATGAAACTTATTTTAAATTGAAGTTTAAAGCTTTCTGTTTAAATCGATGTATAATAATCGTTGGGTTGAATTAGAAAAATATTGAGAAAAAGAGTATTGAGCTAAAACTAACAATTTCGTATAACCTAAAAAATGTCAAAAAAGATGCAAATTTAAAAATTCCTGGAAGCCGTATTTATTGAAATTAAGGAATGGGACTTATTCTAAATTAAAGCTCAATGTTTTCTCTTTAAAATGATGTATAATAATTATTAGGTTGGATTGGAAAAGTATTGAGAAAAAAAATGTTGAAATAAAACTTACATTTTCGTATAACCTAAAAGTGTCAAAAAAGATGCTAATTTAAAAATTCCTGGAAGCCGTGTTTATTGAAATTAAGGAATGAGACTTATTCTAAATTAAAAGCTTTCTCTTTACAATGATGTATAATAATTGTTCGATTGGATTGGAAAAATATTGAGAAAAAAAAAGTTGAAATAAAACTTACATTTTCGTATATCCTAAAAGTGTCAAAAAAGATGCTAATTTAAAAATTCCTGGAAGCCGTGTTTATTGAAATTAAGGAATGAAACTTATTTTAAATTAAAGCTCAATGCTTTCTTTTTAAAATGATTTAAAATGAGTGTTTAAAACTACCGGTACTTTAAAGTACCGTCAAGACACAAAGGGTTAATAAAAGTATACCACAATCTAGCGCTGAATAACAACTAAAACTAGAACTAATGCTAAACCTAGGACTAGAAATATTCGGGTTTTGTCGTCTTAAGGGATGTATGGCTAAACCCGAATGTTTCTAGTTTTAGGTTTAGTTTTAGTTCAATCAAAATATTCAACAATCTAACGCTGAGTAACAACTAAAGAGCTAACACTATTTATGTATTTCTTCAGCGCGCTAACAGGATCAACCCAATAGTAGCGCCCACTAAAACATTGTTTAGTTTACACAAAAAAAAATTAAAAATACTACCCAAAACGAGAATAAATACATTTTTTAGACATAAATGGAGTGTAATAAAAAATATCAACGCACCTACAATATTTATTAAAGGAATCCAGATTTCTAAAATCAAGGGAACCGGTGTATGTGTTAGGTGCTGATGAACCTAAACACCAAACAGTCACGAGTTTGGTACTGCCGAATATTAAAGCCTATATGAGATACATATCAGTGGCAAAACGTCTGCGTTGCAAGAGAACCAAGTACAGTAAATTAAATTTACGAGTCAGAAATCCTACAAATAAATAGACCTAATACGCTCTAGGTTGGAAAATTACAAACATGTACAGTGGCTCCAAGCCAAACTAGGACAGTAGAGTTATAATATTTCCTTACTAAAAAATATTCAAACTAAAATAGCTATGAAAAAAAGTAAATTGATTTTCAGTAATTTATTAATTGCATATTCAAAAAACAAACACAAAATACAAACATTTATTTGCTATAATAAAAATATATCCAAATAAACAAAAACAGTACAAAAACTCGGACAATAACCAATTTATTGCTAAATTAAGGCAGCCATTAGTAAAAATTACAAACAATTTCATGTAGAAGCTTTGACAGTTGTTGACAAAGGGCACAATCGGGTGGCAAACAAGCCAAAGAGTGATCATAATAAAATTTTTACTGAATCGGATGAACGGTATTTAACAAGAAAAATTATTATTGTTGAGAATGAACTAGGGAAAAAAGCTACATGGTAGAATCTCGCCTTTCTACCATATAGCTTTTTTTCCCTAGAAAACCATTAATCAGTAAAAAGAATCAAAACATCAGATTAATATTTGCAAGAGCGCACGAAAATAAAGATTTTTCTTTTTGGAAAGCTGTTCTATTTACTGATGAAATTAAATATAACATTTTTGGGTCAGATGTACGGAGAAGAAAAAATGCAGCTGCATTTAAAAAATTAAAGACCAACTGTGAAACATAGTGACGGATCTGTGATGGTGTGACTGTCATTTTCAGCTGCTGGACCAGGATGTTTGCATTTCATCGAGGGAATAATGAGCCAAAATGCGTATCTCAATATTTTAAAAACCAATTTACCTCGTAGCGTGGGCAAACTATCTCTTAGAAGCGACTTACGATTCTACCAAGACAACGATCCAAATCACAAGGCGTACAAAATACGTTCTTGGCTCTTATATAGTTGCCCTCATTTAATGGAAATGCCACCCCAAAGCCCAGACATAAATCCCATTGAAAATTTATGGAATTATTTAAATACGAAAATTCGGGAACATGAAGTTTCTAGTAAATCTGAGTTGAAGAACGCCTTGTTGGAAGAATGACAGAAAATTCCACTAACTTTTTGTTAAAAATTGACAGTCATAATATGCAATTAATAAATTACTGAAAATCAATTTACTCTATTGTTCGAGTTTGGTTTGGTGCCACTGTACGAATAATAAACCCTAATGACTTGATGGCCTTTGAAAAAACTTAATCAATATGGGAGGAGAAAAGCAATTTAGTGTCCAAGAACACACCAAGGGTTACTTCCTTAATTGAAGTAACTACATATAAGGTTAATGATCCAAGGGAATACTAGTACTGAACGATGTATCTTCTTCTACTGAAAGTAATTTGGTTTCACTTATCATAATTAAAAAACAATTTATTGTGTTAACAGAAACCATGGAAACTATGGAGGTCATTTTGTAATAAAGAGCAATCAACAGTAGTACAGATTTTAGAGTATATCTTCCAGTCGTCCGCATAAAGTAAAAAGTTTTAATGTAGGAAACATCATCCAATGTTATTAATATAAATCAAAAACAAAAGGGGTCCAAGGCCAAGGTGACTACCCTGTGGAACTCTTGAAGTGATATCTGTAGATTCAGATAAGTAATTATTCACACGAATAGTCTGACATCGTTTTTATTGAAGTTTATTGGTTGTTCTTAATGTTTCGACTATAATTTAAGGTTCTGATAAAGTTTCATGAAATAACTTTAAATTTTTATTCAAAACATGATGATTCGGTGAAGATTCTTGAAGTAGGTTTCGTTTTTATTGAAGTTTATTGGTTGTTGTTAATGTTTCGACTATAATTTAAGGTTCTGATGAAGTTATAATATAACTTTAAATTTTTAGTCAAAACTTGATGATTCGATAAAGTTTCTTGGATTTGGTGACGTTTCTATGAAGTTCTTTTTGTTACTATTTAATTTTCTTGTTCAAAATTAACGCTGCAGTGAAATTTCTTGAAGTATATTTGGTTTTTATTGAAGTTTATTGGTTGTTATTAATATTTCGACTATAATTTTTAAGGTTCTGATGCAGTTTCATAAAATAACTTTAAATTTTTAGCCAAAACTTGATGATTTCGTGAAGTTTCTTGGATTTGGTGATGTTTCTATGAAGTTTTTGTTGTTACTATTTAATTTTCTTGTCCAAAATTAACGTTGCAGTAAAATTTCTTGAAGTAGATTTTGTTTTTATTGAAGTTTATTAGTGATTATTAATATTTCAACTATAATTTAAGGTTCTGATGAAGTTTCATAAAATAAATTTAAATTTTTAGCCAAAACTTGATTATTCGGTGAAGTTTTTTGGATTTGGTGACGTTTCTATGAAGTTTTTTGTTAATTATTATTTATTTTTATTAAAAATTATTGCTGTAGTGAAGTTTCTTGTAGTAGATATGGTTTTTATTGAAGTTTATTGGTTGTTATTAATATTTCGACTATAATTTTTAAGGTTCTGATGCAGTTTCATAAAATAACTTTAAATTTTTAGCCAAAACTTGATGATTTCGTGAAGTTTCTTGGATTTGGTGACGTTTCTATGAAGTTTTTGTTGTTACTATTTAATTTTCTTGTCCAAAATTAACGTTGCAGTAAAATTTCTTGAAGTAGATTTTGTTTTTATTGAAGTTTATTAGTGATTATTAATATTTCATCTATAATTTAAGGTTCTGATGAAGTTTCATAAAATAACTTTAAATTTTTAGCCAAAACTTCATGATTCGGTGAAGTTTCTTGGATTTGGTGACGTTTCTATGAAGTTTTTTTGTTACTATTTATTTATTTTTATTAAAAACTATCGCTGCAGTGAAGTTTCTTGTAGTAGATATGGTTTTTATTGAAGGCTATAGGTAGTCATTAATGTTTCGACTATAATTTAAGGTTCTGATGAAGTTTCATGAAATAACTTTAAACTTTTATACAAAACATGATGATTCGGTGAAGTTTCTTCAAGTAGGTTTCGTTTTTATTGAAGTTTATTGGTTGTTATTAATGTTTCGACTATAATTTAAGGTTCTGATGAAGTTATATAATATAACTTTAAATGTTTAGTCAAAACTTGATGATTCGGTGAAGTTTCTTGGATTTGGTGACATTTCTATGAAGTTTTTTTTGTTACTATTTATTTATTTTTATTAAA